CCCTATTAGCCGCGTCGAAATTTTCCTAGCCTTAAGCTGCAAGGCAGCGCCATCTATCTTTTTTTTCTAGTAAACTTTTCTTTAGATTTAAACATCTAGCAGTTAAATGCTTAAAAAATAAATAAAATCATAATCTTATAATCATCAGCCTATTAATGTCCCCACTAATGGGGCATCGGTTTGTAGTGTCCAGGTAGGTTTAATATTGTAATTTTAATAGATTTGTATGTGAGCATAAAAAATCAAATGTTATATTTTAGTCCTTATTTTAATTTTTTGGTAAAATTTAGTATTGGTTTGTTATAATATTGATAAAAAAAATTGTTTTGAAATTACCTTCGATGGATTATAAATTGTGGAAATTTTTGTCTCATTTTAATTTTCTCTCTAGTAATAATACACTTTGTTTTAATTTAATTTTATACATTGATAGGAACACTGTTTCATATTATACGGGAATGGGCGTTAATTCTGCAACACAGTTTTTGTAAAACTAAAGCAGATTTAACGATTCTTAATTTTATGTACATTGCACTTGTTCCAAATAAAGTTATTATTAATGTCCCCACTAATGGGGCGCAGGCCTTCCCAACGAATGGTATAGGGAGATTAGCGTGCCTCCCAAAGCACGGAGGAATGAGAGATAGAAGATTTTCGGACACCCATCCAATATCCGATCCGACCACTGCGAAACTTGCTTAACTTCAACGATCGTAGCTGAACACGTCACAGGGTTCATAACCCCGCCCCCAAATCTAAGGTCAAATTGAAAAACCCAAAATAAAAGGAAATTTCTAACAGCGATAAATTTATAGTTTGTCGACGTTTAGTGGTGTTTTTATGAACTACGTACTATGGCCAAAATAACTTGGAAATGACATCTATTTTATCCTATTGAATTTTGATTGGCATTTTTTCTATAATTAACATTATTAATCGACTATCTTATATACATAATACATAAATTATGTACATAAATTAAGACAGTTGTAATTTTGCTGACGATAATATAATGTAATTAGCTTTTCAGAATTTATTAATGGTACGTGAAATTGATGGCATAATGATTATTAATAATATTAATGTAATTAATGCAATGTTAAATATTTGCAGGCTATTGTAAATGGCAGAATGGGCCGAACTTTATATTTGTAACATCTCCAGTGTACCCCTTTTCTAATGCAAATAAATAAATTCTAATTCTAATTCTAGTAGGTACTTATTCAGAAACAAGGAAGCGAACTATAGAAAAGTTTACTAGAAAAAAATCCACGCGGATCAGGCAGCGGACGGGACTCGAACCCGCATCCTTCGCTATCCGGGCGAATGCACTGACCATTATGCTACCACGGCCCTATTAGCCGCGTCGAAATTTTCCTAGTCTTAAGCTGCAAGGCAGCGCCATTTCTTCGCATTGTAGGTAACCCACAATGTCAAATGAATACTTTTTCAAGTATTAAACATTTGAAAGAAGAAATAGCAATTATAGTTATGATTTTATTTATTTTTCTAGTAAACTTTTCTTTAGATTTAAACATCTAGCAGTTAAATGCTTAAAAAATAAATAAAATCATAAGCGAACTATAATTTTGGTAATCCTAGAAAAATCGATATGCGTCGTTATGATAAAGATTGTGTAACAATATTTTATAAGTAATGTATAAACTAAATTGTGTCTTGTGCAATAATGTTTATTTTATTCCAGATACCCATTTTTTATTACTGTAGTGAGTGACCCCCTCCAAAATTTCAGGCTGCTGGATTGGGGCTAGGTTATTGCTGGTCTGCGACCGAACAACAATCAAAAGGCGAACGCTAGAGAAATTTTACTAGAAAAAATTCCACGCGGTCTAAACAGTAAATGGGAGTAGAACCCGCACCCTCCGTTATCCAGGCGGATGCACTGGGTTCGAATCCCGGTAGAGGTAAATGTTAATAGTATGATGAATACGTGCATTTATACATTTATACGTATGATGGATTATGTGGATGTGGATGTTTATATATTTTTTTATATATACAGGGCGTCCTACGGCTAACTCACACGGAGGGAAAGTATATTAAATATTGAAGATAGGATAGTTTACCGAAAGAAGACATCATTTTATTTTTAATTATAACTAGAACTGCATTCACAGATTTTTTTTAAAATCGCCTGCTAAAACACTACATGATTTATGATAATCATCGAAAGGGTTAATCATAACAATTATTTTCTGCTAAATTTTCAAAAAGTTGCTCATAGTATTCCGCGGCGTGGGAGGAGGTATCACTACATAGTATAAAACAAAGTCGCTTTCTCTGTCCCTATGTCCCTTTGTATGCTTAGATCTTTAAAACTACGCAACGGATTTTGATGCGTTTTTTTAATAGATAGAGTGATTCAAGAGGAAGGTTTATATGTATAATACATGCATAATATAGTTGAGAAACACTGATAATTTTAGAGGTTTTTTATATAAGTTTGTAAATAGACACATTTTTTTGCGCTTACATTGCAAACGCTGGCTGAACCCTACGAGATAGATCAAAATAATGTACTACAGTATTGTACACCTTAAAAAGGTTTACAAAAAAGTCCGCGATGGTATATGCCTATCTCTTTGGTATAACCCACAATAACCATTTTTTAATTACTTATTACGAGAAAATAATGGCTTATTTACGAACAAGCGATTTTAAGCAATACAGCATTAATCCTTATCCAATTAAGTACCTTAAATACATTGTGCGTGTAATATAGATTAATATAACCCTCTACAGCATGTAATTTAAATGAATATTTTCGAAGATATTACAGATTTAAAATGCAGGAACATACCGGTTCGGGCGGTACTGGCCGGGGGGCCGCGGTCTTTAGTAATTAGGTATTTAAAGAAAGTCATTGTGTTTAATAGAAACCTGAGAACAAAAATATAATCTAAACTACAGCTCTACACCGAAGCGAAGCGAGGGCGGGCCACTAGTATATACATATAATACGCACCAGGATGAGGTCTCCTAGCGGCCTGCGCCTTCAGCAGCTTGCTCATAGTATTCCGCGGCGTGGGGGGAGGTATATATACATATATACATATAATACGCACCAGGATGAGGTCTCCTAGCGGCCTGCGCCTTCAGCAGCTTGCTCATAGTATTCCGCGGCGTGGGGGGAGGTATATATACATATATACATATAATACGCACCAGGATGAGGTCTCCTAGCGGCCTGCGCCTTCAGCAGCTTGCTCATAGTATTCCGCGGCGTGGGGGGAGGTATATATACATATATACATATAATACGCACCAGGATGAGGTCTCCTAGCGGCCTGCGCCTTCAGCAGCTTGCTCATAGTATTCCGCGGCGTGGGGGGAGGTATATATACATATATACATATAATACGCACCAGGATGAGGTCTCCTAGCGGCCTGCGCCTTCAGCAGCTTGCTCATAGTATTCCGCGGCGTGGGGGGAGGTATATATACATATATACATATAATACGCACCAGGATGAGGTCTCCTAGCGGCCTGCGCCTTCAGCAGCTTGCTCATAGTATTCCGCGGCGTGGGGGGAGGTATATATACATATATACATATAATACGCACCAGGATGAGGTCTCCTAGCGGCCTGCGCCTTCAGCAGCTTGCTCATAGTATTCCGCGGCGTGGGGGGAGGTATATATACATATATACATATAATACGCACCAGGATGAGGTCTCCTAGCGGCCTGCGCCTTCAGCAGCTTGCTCATAGTATTCCGCGGCGTGGGGGGAGGTATATATACATATATACATATAATACGCACCAGGATGAGGTCTCCTAGCGGCCTGCGCCTTCAGCAGCTTGCTCATAGTATTCCGCGGCGTGGGGGGAGGTATATATACATATATACATATAATACGCACCAGGATGAGGTCTCCTAGCGGCCTGCGCCTTCAGCAGCTTGCTCATAGTATTCCGCGGCGTGGGGGGAGGTATATATACATATATACATATAATACGCACCAGGATGAGGTCTCCTAGCGGCCTGCGCCTTCAGCAGCTTGCTCATAGTATTCCGCGGCGTGGGGGGAGGTATATATACATATATACATATAATACGCACCAGGATGAGGTCTCCTAGCGGCCTGCGCCTTCAGCAGCTTGCTCATAGTATTCCGCGGCGTGGGGGGAGGTATATATACATATATACATATAATACGCACCAGGATGAGGTCTCCTAGCGGCCTGCGCCTTCAGCAGCTTGCTCATAGTATTCCGCGGCGTGGGGGGAGGTATATATACATATATACATATAATACGCACCAGGATGAGGTCTCCTAGCGGCCTGCGCCTTCAGCAGCTTGCTCATAGTATTCCGCGGCGTGGGGGGAGGTATATATACATATATACATATAATACGCACCAGGATGAGGTCTCCTAGCGGCCTGCGCCTTCAGCAGCTTGCTCATAGTATTCCGCGGCGTGGGGGGAGGTATATATACATATATACATATAATACGCACCAGGATGAGGTCTCCTAGCGGCCTGCGCCTTCAGCAGCTTGCTCATAGTATTCCGCGGCGTGGGGGGAGGTATATATACATATATACATATAATACGCACCAGGATGAGGTCTCCTAGCGGCCTGCGCCTTCAGCAGCTTGCTCATAGTATTCCGCGGCGTGGGGGGAGGTATATATACATATATACATATAATACGCACCAGGATGAGGTCTCCTAGCGGCCTGCGCCTTCAGCAGCTTGCTCATAGTATTCCGCGGCGTGGGGGGAGGTATATATACATATATACATATAATACGCACCAGGATGAGGTCTCCTAGCGGCCTGCGCCTTCAGCAGCTTGCTCATAGTATTCCGCGGCGTGGGGGGAGGTATATATACATATATACATATAATACGCACCAGGATGAGGTCTCCTAGCGGCCTGCGCCTTCAGCAGCTTGCTCATAGTATTCCGCGGCGTGGGGGGAGGTATATATACATATATACATATAATACGCACCAGGATGAGGTCTCCTAGCGGCCTGCGCCTTCAGTAGCTTGCTCATAGTATTCCGCGGCGTGGGGGGAGGTATATATACATATATACATATAATACGCACCAGGATGAGGTCTCCTAGCGGCCTGCGCCTTCAGCAGCTTGCTCATAGTATTCCGCGGCGTGGGAGGAGGTCGTTCTAACGCTCTCCCGTGAACTACGGACGTGTGCCGCTCCAACATATACCTGAACGCAAATGACCATTTTTTATTTAAATTAAATAATACAACGAACTCCATAATTTTACGTTTTTTTTCATAATTTTGTTCGTCATATTGATCTGGGACCAATGATATTAAATACCCCAGATACACCAACACGAACAAAACCGTGCCCGAAATCTGTCCAAAAGGTACATTGGACGGTCCACGGAGTTCCGTAAGATGAACGCGTAGTCAAAAATAATATAAGGCATTATTTAAACATTAAAAGTCACCTTTAACGCAAACTATATAAGGTCTTAATTAAAAACGCATGTGTCAAAGAGTTATGACAGTTTGAAAGGCAAGCTCGTAAAATTTTACGACTTATTGCTATATGCGGAAATTTGACTATACGCGCAATTCTGAATGTGCTGTTAGCAATATAGCAGATACGGACCCCGAGGAAAGCAGACAGCTATATTACCGACCATGAATTTGAATATAAGAAATATTTTCTTATTAATCAGTATATAGTAATTATTACAAAAAAATTGCTTCAAATGCGTTGAATTAAGAAACTATAATTAGATACCTTTCGAAAAATGACATTTTATTTTATTCAGGATAAAAAACAGTGGTACAATTCTCATTAGACAAATAGTATTGTAATACAAGTGACACCTTAAATTATTGTACGACCAACTTTATTATCCACTAATTAGAACAAAATACATATTTTTGCGCTTCCTTAAGATTTTCTATTAATACAGTAGGTACCAAGAAATTAACAGAATATAAAGATAGTAACTGAAAGTAATAATATGACCTTTCAATCAAACCACACTGCTAAAGTAGTTAAATCTAGCCAGGGTGCAAGTCTAACCGATGTATATCTAGTATATTAACATTCACTTAGATACTTCTGAACCTTGGGAAAAAACTGAAGTGACACTTTTTGAAGTTATACTTCTTTAGGCGCGTTATGAAAAAATGATGAGAGTGAAATTTTTAGATGCGCGCGCATCACTGTAACCCAAAAGTAACAGCATGAAGTTGGCCGCGGGCGCGTTATGAAAAAATCATGTGAGTGAAATTTCGAGATGCGCGCGCATCACTGTAACACAATAGTAACACCATGAAGTTGGCCGCGGGCGCGTTATGAATGTTAGTGTCTAATAATGGTGGATTATTAACCACTTAGTGGTTAATAATCCACCATTATTAGACATTTGTTCGAAAGGTACTTTGAACGATCCACGGAGCTCCATAAGATGATCGCGTTGTCAAAAACAATGTTGGCACGCTCATCGCCTCTGATCACTGTTTTCATATTTATAATATTTATCCACATGTTTCTAGTTTCTATATAGACACAACGTGTTTTAGTTACTTACAAGTGCTAATTACATATGGACTAATAACTTAAATTCAGTAGTGATTTTAATTGAATATTTTGAATATTTATTTAAATTTTCAAATTAAAACTGAACTTAATTGACTGTGTTAACTATCCTTTTCCAGTCCTTTTATTATTTTATTGTAATTATTAATTATTTGCATGCAATTAAAAAATATTTTTAATGATGCTAAAGAAGTATAACTTCTCACGCGCGTACATAAGTTACACGCATCCATTTTTTTGTATAAGGATGGTGACATTTACATACTATAAGTAATTTTTTCACATAGCTCTGCGGCAACTCGACTTTTCCACGGTCCCCACGTGACCGTGGACCAGGAAAGTGCTTAATGGTGTTTAAGTACTAATGAGCGCACGTCGTATATCTATAGTCTATTTACTTCGGCGTGAGACAAAATATAAACAAAGAATCTGTGGTCCTAAATCTTTTATAATGTCAGAAAGTACCCACTAGTCAATGATTACGTATAATTTATGTTCCCTATAATTTATTAGCAACTTTAATCTTAACAGAAAAAAATTACAACGAACTCAAGAATTAAAAAAAGAATTTAGCAAATATATTAGAATATGCGCGCTCGCGTCAACAGGTTGATCGGGAGAGTAAAGAAAGATGGCTAACGTAAACCAAGCGATTACAAAACACAACACTTCAACGTAAAATACTTATATCATGTCAACTCTTAAATTTTGTCGTATTATAATACGGCTTAAGTTTGGGAACAATTGTGTTTTTAGGTCTTTTTCCATGTCAACTTAAATAGTTCAAATACTTTTATGAGCAAAATAAAAATATAGGAATTTATGATGAGTTAAATATACGTTAAATATTTGCGAAATATTTTATTTTGACGCCACCCTATAGTCTATTCACGCCAATGTGAATAGACTATAGGGTATCTAATATCTTTTGTTTGGGGCAGTGAAATTGTTCTAGAGTCCCCTTTACTTCTTGTTCGTGACCTTCGGTCTTCTCATAACCTATCCTTAGTTATCCCACCCCACTCCAGTGATTTCGTAGCCAAGTCATTCTATGTAAGAGCTGTTAAATTGTGGAACTCTTTACCTTTAGATATTAAACGTGCACGGACGAGGGACTCCTTTGCTTTTAAAATCTCTTATCTATTAGACAAGTCCGTCAGTCCGTCTGTCTGTGGTGCTGTTTCAGCGGCCAAACCGTAAGAGATAGATAAAGAGAATGTTGAAGTTATAAGTTAAGAATAGTCTGATAAGACTACAAACCGGATTTGAGTAACGTAGCACTTCCGGTTTTCGAGAAATCACGAATTTCAAACGAAACCACACAAAATCTCCGAAGTTCTCAATTAATTAAATACATCTTTTTTTAATCAGGTTTTGGTGAACATTTGGTTTACTGGTTTGCTGGTTAAGGATTATTTCCTCAAGCTGGACTCTGACTGATCTTTTTATATGTTCATTACTTTGTATTGTATTTTATAGCTTCCATATACTTTATATATTTTGTTTTCCTATATTTACGTTTATTTATTTATTTTTACAATGCACAGCCCGCTGTTTCTACTATTCGTATGGTATTGTTTCATTTAGCCAAAGGTTGCCTGGTAGAGATTGCTACCTTAGCAATAAGGCCGCCTTTTATGTTTGCGTTAACAATAAACAGTGTTTTTTTTTGTAATAGTGCAATAAATAGTATTCATTCATTCATTCTTGGGTTAGTATAGCTGCGCGAAGTTATGGTGCTCCATCGCGCTGCCGCAGCTTGCGACGACGTTCACGTTATCATCAGCCTATTAATCTCCCCACTGCTGGGGCACAGGTCATCCCTATGGATGGAATAGGGAGATTGGGCTATGACCCACCACGCGGGCCCAGTGCGGATTGGTGGGTGCTAACGACTGCAGATGCAGCCGGGACCAACGGCTTAACGTGCCTCCCGAAGCACGGAGGAACTCGAGATAGTAAATTTTTGGTCACCCATCCAATGACCGACCACTGCGAAAGTTGCTTAACTTCAACGATCGCAGCCGAACGCGCTAACCACTTGCGCCATCGAGATCCTCGTTCACGTTAGTTAGTTCTTAATTCGTCGTTGATCGTGCTGTATTCGCTCATCACCTATATTTCCGTAAATAATTGAATTGTATCACGGCATCGCACTTTTCAACGAGTTATACAAATCTCGAGATTTATCCAGAGGCATCGGGATATCAGACTGGTAAAAGGTTCCTTCATTAATATTACGAACACATAACTATTACAATTCCAGCTAGCTATCAATTTTTTTAAATATTTTTGTAACACATTTGCGAAAAAACTGTACCTATACCTGATGTAAGTAATAAACTGTTTTGAGTAGAAAATGGCGCGCTTTTCCATATGGCGCCACGTGTAGGTGGTGAAAATTAGAACTACATATTTAGTTCTTTTTTTTAGTATTAACACGAGACAATAGATAGATGAATAGATTAAAAGCGAATCCAAGGAAGTCGGATCAAAATAAAACAAAAAATGCGCACGGCGCCATGTATGGGAGCGTGCGGTAAAATGCTTTACCGCACACTCCGTTGTACGGGTCGTAATTTTAAACTTTCGAACAATGCATACAACCTCCGTAAATGCATTTTTGAAAGTTTTATGTACGCTGGAGATCATTTATTTAATAGTTTAGGCTGTTACAAGCACCCGGTAGTCCAGAAGCTACGCCATCGGTTCGTAAATCTACGGCGGGAGACCTTGTACTGAGAAGAGCCGGAAAGGGGCCGTCCATAAATTACGTCATCGTCATTTCGTAATGACCCCCCCCCCCCCTCCCTTCTCCCAAAATTGACGTCATTACCAGTTTGACAAAATTAGAACATTTCAGATTTGAGTAAAGCTAGTATTATATGTAATATTATTGTTAGAGTATTTTATCTGTAGTTATTACTGTATTTGTGTACATCTATGTTGCATTATGTACGTTTATTATGAGTTATTTTAGTATTGTACGCGCCTTAGCCGCCTCTCACATTTGCAGTCTCACTCACTAGGTGTGCTGGATAATTTCTTTTTAGAAATAATCTTTTTGTACGTGAACAATAAATAAATAAGAATGACGTCAATTTCGAAACACCCCCCCCCCCCCTATCTATCATTTACCGTCATCCGCAGACCAACCCCCCCCCCCTAATTTAGAATGACGTAATATATGGACAGCCCCAAAGAAACTCAACAAGGGCTGGTTGTTGGCTACCTACCTCCTCTCGAAGCGGTCCGGACAGAAGGAACAGCGGAATAGTCTCCGGACTTGAGGAGGCGGGGCTGCACCAGCTTCGTGGGATTTGCTGTGCGCCGCAAGATTGTATCTACAAACCAAATACAACTGTGTTTGTTTCTTAAGCCAGAAACATATTTACGTGTCGTGGCGTGACGTGGCGCATCGGTTTCGTACGTTTATTATGGGTTAGAGAGAGATAGAGAGGTTAGAGCGTCGACACGACGCGATACGTAAATATGTCTCTAGCCATAGTAAATGTATGAAACCGATGCGCTTCTGGCGCGCCACGACACGACACGACACGTTAATATGTTTCTGGCTTTAGGTTTTCACGCACACCACTCGTTAAATAAAACAAGTTTCAACGGTATAGATGTGTGGCGGCGACATCCATATGCCCCACATATATACAACGGATGGAGTAAATCATTACTCACCATCCTCAAGAGATGGCGTTACCCGCACTGCGATCTTAATAGTATGGAAGCCTACATCGCGCAAATGAAATTCGGAGGCTAGATCTTCATATATACGATGCCCGACTAATATCAGTCGGGCCGCGGCCCCCGAGCTACCATCACCCAGCTCGGAGGAAGATCTTCCCCTTTGGACTTCTTACAGATGCACAGATTTCAGCCTGCGTCGTCGAGAATTAACAATTTAAAATTCTGACGACGCAGCCTGAAAAGGATGCGAAACGTCAATACTAGTATTAACCTGCCTCACATTAGGTAGAGTAAACTTAACGCATTTTGTTTTACTGGAGTTAAGTTTTAAATTATTTACTGTAAACCAGTGAAGGACTTCAGAGAGAGCACAATTTACTTCGTCATAACAATCATTTCCTCTTCTAGCTTTAAACAATAAAGAGGTGTCAACAGCAAATAGTACTGTCTCACACAAATCTCTTGTAAAGTGAGGAAGGTCATTGATATAAATAAGGAAAAGCAATAGGCCCAATATTGAACCCTGTGGCACGCCCATAGAAATGGGTGCTCCTGTAGACTCAGCTTCATTTATAACTACTTTCTTAATCCTAGCAGAAAGATAAGACTGTATCAGACTTAGTGAAATATTTGATACACCATAATGCTTCATTTTATTTAACAATGTTTCATGGCTAACGCAGTCAAACGCCTTTGATAAGTCGCAAAAAATGCCAATAGCATCGTCCCACTATGATTGAAACACGTGCGTATACAAATTAAGAACCGCCTCCTTTTTGAAGTTGGTTACAAAAGTGCACTAAATAATAAATACCTTTTTAAGGTATACACACATACAGACTTTAGAATGGTATAACACAGTATGATGTATGAAGGATATTTTAGTGTAGTATATTACTTCTTTGATAACTAGGGTTGCCAGATGCTGGTTTATCTATTCCGGGACATTAGCCCCCATACCCTCCCTGAAAAAATAAAGCATCAAATCAAACCCCTATCACCCCCCAGAATTAAAACGTCAAGCGGGTGTTTGCCAAATGCTGGCTTATCAATTCCGAGACATTTGCATCCCCCTCCTGAAAAAATAAAGCACCTCTCATTACCCCCCAGAATTAAAAGATCAAGCAGGTGTCATTACGAAACTAGCAAATTATCGGAATCCGGGACAATAAGGTCTAATTACTGGACACGGGACAATACGCAAAATTCCGGGACCATCCCGGAAATCCCGGTCATCTGGCAACCCTACTGAGAAGCGTTTCCTACATTCATGCCGCTTTTCTCCACTATGGACTATATGTCGCGATCACCCACGTTTAATGAAGTGTCATGTAATGTAGTATGGTGTGGCGTAGTGTAGTGTAGTATATTACCTCTCCGAGAACCGTTTCCCGCAGACGGTGCACTCGTGTCGTTTCTCCCCGCTGTGGACCCGCTTGTGCCGCTTGAGATGCGAGCGCGTCATGAGCGCGAGCCCGCACACGTCGCACGCGTGCGGCTTCACGCCCGAGTGGGACAGCTTGTGCATCTTGAACGACGACGTGTGGATAAACGACTTGCCGCACAAATCGCACTGGAACACACCCCACATTCATATGTCGTCAGTTTTTTGGAAAACGCGAAATAAGGCACTTTTCCGTGACATAGTTTTATAGTAAAAAAATGGGTGCGTGTACTTATGTAGGCGCGTGAGAAGTTATCCTTCTTTCGCATCGTTTAAAATTAGTTTTTAATTGCATGCAAATAATTAATTACAATAAATTAATAAAAAGTCTGGAAAAGGACACAGTCAATAAAGTTCAGTTTTAATTTGAAAAAATAAATAAATAATCAAATATTCAATTAAAATCGCTACTGAATATAATTTATTAGAACATATGTGATTTGCACTTGTATGAAACTCAAACACGTATTCCGAATATACAAACTAGAAACATGTGGATAAATATTATGAATATAAATACCTATAACTGTTACTTTATTACAAAAAATAAAGATGTGGTTTTTGGTTCTACTACACCAATGGTCAAGAGATGGCGCTGTAGTCTCCTGAATCGCGCTTTGGTTCCGTTGTTCCAGATTAATAAATACTTTTGATAGGCCTTCACAATGCAGTCGTTAGCACCCACTAAATAGAGATTCTATTTCTATTTTGTTGCTAGATTTTCTTAATGTGCGGTAAACACAAAAGTAACGCATGAAGTTGGTCCCAACCAACTTCATGCTGTTAAAATTTTGTGTTACAGTGATGCGCGCGCATCTTAAAATTTCACTCTCATCATTTTTTCATAACGCGCCTAAAGAAGTATAACTTTAAAAACAGTTTTATATGACTTTTTGGACTGATCTGCATTAACGGCGAAGTGTATAACCCTCAGATCCATTAAAACAGTGCGTGCAATAGCGAGTATCGCATCTGCAAATGAATTCGGCCATCTATTTTCGTTGAATATTAAGATAATGTTAAACGGAAATCCGAACCAACCCCATGATTGGCGCGTTGATCGCATTTGTATCGCTCCGCATACTTGATCTCAGTTTCCATGGAACCACTTTTAGAACAGTTCGTATTCCTTATCATTTCTAATTCATTGCCGTTACCCCAGTATCCCATAACATAAGCCTAATTGGTGCGAGTACATGAAATATTAAGTAATTGAGCCCCTTCTATCGTCTATTCACGGCGATTTATTCTCTCGAATAGTAAGACATAAATCGAACTGTTTTTTTTATTATTTTCGGCTGTGAATACAAAATTGAGGTCTACACAGACCAGGGGATAAAATCCTACTTTCTTCTTCCTACTATTTTTATATATGCGACAGTTGTATACTATTTTTATTCTTTCACGCATAAACTATTTAGAGGATGGAAGCTTAACCCATTATCGAAAAGCACACCTAAATCTTTTATTAGTGTTTTTCTGTTTAAAATGTTATTTTGTATAAAATAGGTGTGAATCACCCTGGTTCCCTTTCGTCTTGTAAAGGATACAACACAACATTTATTAACGTTGAGGTTCATTTTATTCAATTCACACCAGTTTTCAATAACATTGAGGTCGTTTTGAAGAGCCTCACATTCCTCACTGTCACCAGTGTTAGTAAAAATCTTTACGTCATCTGCATAAAAAAGGGCAGGGCACGTCAATAAATCAACCAGATTATTCATGAAGATATTGAATAAGAGCGGGCCCAGATGTGATCCTTGAGGGACTCCCGATGTAATGGCTACAGGACCAGATGAATAACCGTTAAGAGTGACAAGTTGGGACCTGTTATTTAGATACGATTCAATCCAGCTCAATAAACAACCATGAATACCATAGCGTGAAAATTTTAGGCAAGGCAGGCGGTGATCGACTCTATAAAAGGCTTTACTAAAATCTAAGTAAATGGAATCAACTTGACCACCAGTAGCAAAAGCTCGGCAGATATAGTTCTTATATTCCTAGTTATGTATTTATGGCTATACATTTATAGATTTTTTCGACCGGTCGAACGAAAAACCGTAATCACCACTTTACAGTTCTCCTTTAAAAATGTATTTACCTGTTTTATTTATGTATATTCATGGCGGCACTAGAATTAATATCTGAAATTGACGAATCTTTGAACTTTGAATGTCATGAAGTTTATTATCCGGAAATGTGTGGTAAAATAAATAAAAAATACACATTTGTTTCTTAGGTTTTCACGCACATCACTCATTAAATAAAACTAGTTTTTAACGGGATAATGCATGAACTTTATTTATTTATTGACGTTTCGCAGCCTTTTCAGGTCAGGGGCCCAATTCTCGCGGCATAGATATTATATCGGCTTCGAGATAATATCGAAAGGAGGGATATCTATTGAATATATCTACTGATGGTAAAAAATGCTATTCTCGTGGATTTTCGATATTCCAATGATATTATATCTATCGTAGATATTCTTTCACTGACGAATGCGTTCCGTTTTTCTCGATTAAGTTAACATCATAGTCTATATAAAATAATAATAAATTAGAGCAGAATTTTACAAGCAACAAAATGATATTTTATGAATTCCATTCATATTAAATATGAGTATACATTTTTTGAGTATAAGAAATCTCAAATTTTACCTAAATTGTATGCGTATATAATTTCAACGTTATGTATAATGAAACGTCAATATTATTTAAGATTCTCCCTTTTCAGGGAAGGGAAAGGGAACAATGCCCATGAAGCCTAGTCTTTAGTTATATTAATCTTCTTTTTTTTACATTCGAATGCCGGTGTGACGCATTCTAATGTTTCTTGGAGTGTTTGGCACGTTTATGGAGTTGGCTTTTTCTCTAAGCTTCTGTGAGGTAGTCAACACTACAATAAAGTTTTCGCGTCCACTTGACGGGAATAGCGTATATTTTAAAGATTCCACTAATTCTTCAATTGCGCAGACGATTGTAACACCCAATCACACCAATTTCATTTCACAATATCCACTATCACCGAATTTTAGAATAATTAAAATAAGATGCCAACCGCACTCTCAGAAATCCCGCCAAAACTCCGTATCGTCAATAAGAAAATGGTGTCGATTCTGGCATGATTCTCTAAACCTAAACGTAAATTTTACAACAGTGTATCCTTGTCATTCTCCATACAGAATGAAAAGGAGAGACTGAAGTTAAATTTAGTTTTAAGTTTAGAGACTCGTGTCAGAATCGATACCAATGTCATTAATAACTTTAAAGATTTCTAACCAAATTTTAGTTTAAACGTAATTTTTTTATGAAGTCGGCGTCCCTCATTTCAAATGGGCCCTCTTGCTCTCACGACGGCGGCGCCTTAGCACAGCAGCAGCAATCACGTCATTTATTAAATCATTGACGAAAACATGAATCAACTGATCCATCGTTAATATAAACTGGTGTCGATTCTGGCACGATTCTCTAAATCTAAACTTAAACTTGACAACAGTGTTTCCTTGTCATTCTTTATACAGAATGAAAAAGAGAGACTGATGTTAAATTTAGTTTTAAGTTTAGAGAATCACGCCAGAATCGACACCATTGTTTACCTACTTCTTTATTTACTAATTATTTATGAAGGCAGTTAACAACATCTTGAGGTAACAATAATTGGCAAAAACAACACGACAACACAATAAATAATAGGTAAAAAAAGTGGAAATAACAAGATTGACATGCCAAGATCCATAGATATTTATATATCGAAGGCTCTTTTCCAGTCGATGTATGTCTACTGATCATCCGTAGATAAATATCTATTGCGACATGGTGAGAATAGGGCAAAAAGGCACAGCAGCAGCAATCACGTCATTTATTAAATCATTGACGAAAACATGAATCAACTGATCCATCGTTAATATAAACTGGTGTCGATTCTGGCACGATTCTCTAAATCTAAACTTAAACTTGACAACAGTGTTTCCTTGTCATTCTCTATACAGAATGAAAAAGAGAGACTGATGTTAAATTTAGTTTTAAGTTTAGAGAATCACGCCAGAATCGACACCATTGTTTACCTACTTCTTTATTTACTAATTATTTATGAAGGCAGTTAACAACATCTTGAGGTAACAATAATTGGCAAAAACAACACGACAACACAATAAATAATAGGTAAAAAAAGTGGAAATAACAAGATTGACATGCCAAGATCCATAGATATTTATATATCGAAGGCTCTTTTCCAGTCGATGTATGTCTACTGATCATCCGTAGATAAATATCTATTGCGACATGGTGAGAATAGGGCAAAAAGGTTTTCCTTCGATAAAAGCCAGATCATTCGATATATATCGAAGGTGATATAATATCTATGCCGCGAGAATTGGGCCCCAGCTCGTCAGAATAATGATTTTTTATTTACTTTGTCGAGCTACCTTGAGGTTTACCTCAAGTTTTATTTAATAAATACACTTTAAACGTACTTCACATTAATATACGGAACATGCAGAGAAATTTCGATGGGTTTCTATTAATCTTAGCAAGATTAAAAATTACGTTTGACATTATAGTATTCAGTGAATATTGGTTAAATGACACATCTATAATTAGGAATATTGATGGATACCAATGCTACAATACATCTAAGCACATTAACAAATCCGGGGGATTAATTGCCTATGTTAACAATACATGGTCAGCAAATCTTCAAGAACTTTCTATTGATTGCCTATTAATAGAGGTTCCGAATGTATTTACCTTACTGGGCCTGTATAGATCCCCTTCATTTAGAAATACGTCTACTTTTGTTGCCTCTTTAGAAAATTGTTTAAATCTGATAAAACATTCGCCTTGTCTCATTCTTGTCGGTGATAAAAATAAAAATATTCTCGGACTGTCGGCTAGTGATGAAAATACCTCCTCATATCTTACTCTTCTGTCAGAACAGGGACTCGCCCCTTGCATAAATATCCCAACTCATGTTAATTCTTGTATAGACCATATTTTCATACCTACAGCCGTAAAAGCAGTCTTTTGTTTGCCCCACTGACTTGACTGATCACAGTCTAGTTATAGTGTGTAGAGGGAGATCAGTCAAAGTCGTCCTAAAATGAGATCAAGGGTAAGAATTGATGACGATGCTCTTAAGACCGAAATAAAACAGATTTGTTGGCCGGATGTTACAAATAATTCCTCTCTAGATGACGTGGTCACTGATTTTACGGAAACTCTAAATAATGCTATAGCCAAACACTCCAAAGTCCAATAAATTAGTCATGCTTAATTCAATATCCAACACTGGATGACTCCTGGCTTAATACGCTGTTCAAACATAGGGACAAACTCACTTAGATTTCAAAAAGGACCCTGAAAATGCGCAGAAAAAACTAATATATTGTAGATTAAGATTTTTTTACAAACGACTCCTTAGAAACTTAAAGGCTGACTATGACAGTACGGAAATAAACACAAATAAAAATAAACCAAAAAAGCTCTAGTCTACCATAAATAAAATCTCACACAGATCCTCAAAAAGGTCTAGCACGTCTTTGCAGGATATAGCAAGTATTGCGGGAACTGCGGAAAACTCCTTGGAAGCATGCAATAGCTGTTTCTCGTCAATGGGTTCAAATCTAGCGCACAACATCTTGTCAAAATTGAATGAGACACATGAAAGCTTAACATCGAAATGTTATTAAAGCGTCTTCGCATAAGTCACTCTTTCTTACACCTACGGACTCAGATGAGATCTTATCACTTATTCAAAATCTAAGCCAGAGTAGCTCATCTAGCCTAGACAACTTACCAATCAAACCCTTAAAGTTATTGGACCCATGTTGGCAGAACCACTTACTACAATTTTCAATAGGAGTAAAGAAACAGGAACTTTTCCCAAATTATGGAAGGAGACAGCTGTTACTCCTATTTACAAGAATGACAAAAAAAATCGATTCCTGTAATTATCGCCCGATATCTCTTCTAGGAAATATATCCAAATTGCTTGTACGAGTCATAAATAAGAGACTGGTAGCTTTCATAGAGGCAAAATATATCTTGTTTGATCGACAGTTCGGCTTTCGACAGAACAAATCCACAGAAGATGCTGTTACTCTCCTGACTAATAATAGTTTCATTACTTGACAAAGGTACCAAATGTCGATACATTTGGTACCGGTGTCTTCTTGGATCTTGCAAAAGCATTCGATTCAATATCAATTCCGATCCTCTTAAAGAAACTGGAAGCGTATGGTATAATAAATAAATATTTCCAACACTCACACCAATTAGCCTAGCCCCAAAGTAAGCACTGTAAGGCTTGTGTTAAGGGATGCTAGGGTAACGGATAGAATACATAATTATACTGTACATATATAAGTATATTTATATAGAAATACATATTAAACACCCATGACTGGAGTACAAATACTCGTATTCATCCCACAAACATCTGCTCCTACCGGGATTCCAACCCGGGACCTCTCGAGTCGGCGACACCATGAAACCCGGCGTACAAACCACTCGGCCACGGAGGTCGTCACGAAGAAATTGTCTTAAGTGGTTTACTAGCTACTTATTATGTCGGAGTCAATGTGATAAAATTAATAACATCAAAAGCAGCACGAGACCTGTGACGTTTGGAATTCCGCAGGGTAGCGTTCTAGGGCCTACACTTTTTCTGCTTTACATAAATGACATTGCTTCGGTGCATTTAAGAAATGCAGAGGTTTGCTGCTATGTTGACGATACTACCATTATTTTTTATGACCGGAACTGGTTAGCAGTTCGCCAAAGGGTAAAGGATGGCATGAGACTTATATCAAGATGGCTTAGTAGTAACCTTTTGTCTTTGAATGTATCTAAGACGAAATTATATGTTTTCATAAAACTGCGGCTTCTGCGCCTGTCGAAATGAGATCTATAAAAATACTCTCTGCTGATTTTGATCTCTTACTTCCATCTAATAAACGCAGGTGCGATGACTGTACTCAGTCTGACTCCATAAAATACTAGACAACAAACTGGCATTTAGAGCACATATAGCGGAAATGTCTAAACGTGTTAGAAAATGTTAGAAAATTAATGTCATGAAGAACTTTCGAGACGCAGTTGATTGGAATGTTTTGAAAACGGTTTATGTAGCTTTGTGTCAGCCTCTTGTTAATTACTGCATACTGGCTTGGGGTGGTTCCAGCTCGCTGACACTCGTTCCTCGCCTTGAGAAAACCCAAAAGATATGCAACAAATGCTCTCTACGAAGAAGCTGAAGTTTTTGAGTATCGGAAAATTATACCTGATGCGAGCAGTCGTCTCAGTGCACAAAACAGTGATAAGGGGCAATAAATACACTGAGATGTTGCAAAAAAGAGTGTTCTCAATACCAAATGTTACTGTGGCTACCTCTTTTGCTAAACGCTTCGGAATCTTTCTCGGTCCATACACTTATAACCAACTAGTTAACATATCGAATCTCAAGCACAGCTCCGTTCGGGAAATACCATCACAAAAATATTATTAAAATGGTCGAATGACAGAGCAGAGGATCTTTTAAGGATAATGAGTTGAATATACACATACACACACACACACACACAACACACACACACAACACACAGTTACACACACACACACACACAAAACACTCACATACATACAAACATACGCGCGCACTATAACCAATGTATCCATTCTTTTTGTTTGTATTTTTAGGCCGTAAATGATATAATTGTTAATTTATTTGTTTCTTAGGTTTTCACGCACATCACTCATTAAATAAAACTAGTTTAAAAAAAAAAAACTTTAATAAGTAAATTAAATAATAAATTCATACATAGACAATAAAACTTAAAAATCGAACAATGAAATAACCAAACGCTCAATAAAAGTCTTTCGAAGGTAGCTCGACAAATTAAATAAAAGTTTTATTCTGACGACGAAGCCTGTAAAGGCTACGAAACGTCAATAAATAAAAAATAAGTTTCGTGCATTAACCCGTAAAAACTAGTTTTATTTAATTGTTAATTGTTCACGTGTTCAAATGCCCGTTCACGTGTTCCATCGTTCCTGGAACCCGGGATTCTTTTAGAGAGGCGAAGAAGCACATTGCAAGCCAGGAAGGTGAGGATGGCTAGTGTGACTGAGCTCGAGTAGAAAACTAGAAAATCTTAACTTTGTAAAAATAACCAAATTATAATTTTTATACCTGATAATTCAATTTGCCGGTGTGAATGTTATTGTGCCGCGCAAGAGCACCTTTGGAAGGAAAAAGTTTATTGCATTCTTCGCATTTCCAATCACTGATACCTGCGAAAATAACAATTCATGATGAAATTTATTAGTAATATAATAAATGTACCTGTAAATTTAAATTAAAAAGTAATGAGAATGCAGATTTATACAGCTAAGGATTCCATAAAATACAGTGGTTATATTTTTGTTCTACGACAAATATTGACGAAGTTATGATCAAATTACAAAACGAATTTTCGGCTGGCCGCGTGGTGGCTGTGACGTCACAGAGCTCTATCGCTCGGGCGCGAGCCTGCGTAGAGACGCTACTGAAGTTATACCAGAGTGAACAACGATCGAGCTCTGTGACGTCACACGTTTCGGCCGCCGGTGAATATTGGCTACCATAAAATTAATTATAAAATCGCAACGAATGAACCGGTTTCGATAATTTAAAAAGTATATTAATTAAAAAGCTTATTGGATCGTTGAATTGATGATTTTGAGTTGATTTTCTGACCAAGTAATGATCCTCATTAGTGATTGATGATGTAAGCAACTGTTATGAGATACGACTAAATAAATTAATGAGTAAAACAGAAATCAGCCACAGGAAAAATGTCAATTAATATTATAAATCTATTATTATAAATTAAATTTTCAATAAAATTAGCTTTCCGTTACTATAACTGTATCTATTATTATGATGGCAATGGTGTCGATTCTGACATGATTCTCTAAACCTAAACTTAAATTTGACAACAGTGTATCCTTGTCGTTCTCTATACAGAATGAAAAGGAGAGACTGATATTAAATTTAGTTTTAGGTTTAAATAATCATGCCAGAATCGACATCATTGTATGATTAATGGCCGAGTTTCGATGCAAGAATTATTAATTATTTTTTTAAAGTATTTTCGAAAGCAGAAATATTTTTATTTTTTCGAAACCAGTTTCGAACGAATTAAAATTAATTTTTTGAAACTGGTTTCGGAGAATGGGTTCGAAAACGGCCGAAGGGGACACCACAACCTCCTTCCATCCAGGAGGCCTACTCTATTTCAACGAAAAACGAAATTTCGATCGAAATTCGCACGTTCCTTACTCTGTTTCTATTTCATTTCGAAAATTCGTTCGTCCGAAAATAGTTTGACATTTAAATTCTCCAAACCTACTCTAATTCACAAAACTAAAAGTTGAATTTGACAGATAGTTGTTCGAAATTTTAACCATAAATTGACGAAATGAAAAAAGTTACCTTATCATTTTCGTTTTGGAATTTTTGTTTAAATTAAACCTAAAATTACAACTAGAGTATTTTTAATTAAGGCTGCTTAGCGTGAGGAACATTAATTACAAATAAATCAAATTTTTGTTTATTATTGTATTGCCAATACTTCAAAGTATTACACGACAAATTTAGGTTGACATACACTGAACAACACTTGCAAAAACTCTACAAATTAGTCGGCTATCACTGTCAAAAGAGGTTGTTTTAGTGTAATCAAAAATTATTGTCACAAAGTAATATTGTTTTGAAGTAAAAACGTTATCTAAAAAAAAGGTAAATTTAAAAAATCAAAAAACCCGACTGCTTAATTATACTTCAAATAAAAACTGAAAAGAGAAAACAAGTCCAGTAGTCTATAATTCTGTTAATAAGGAACAAAGCTACTTTAACAGTCGGGACCCACTGTTGAAAAATATTATGTATTCTTGAATATCTAATGGGTCCCGACTGTTAAGGTAGCTTTGTTCCTTATTAACAGAATTATAGACTACAGGACTTGTTTGTCTCTTTTCAGTTTTTATTTGAAGTATAATTAAGCAGTCGGGTTTTTTGATTTTTTAAATTTACCTTTTTTATTTCACACTTTTTAGTTAGTTAGTATTTTAAGACGGTATATACCGTAGTCTTGTTACTTCAGTATGAGAATTAATATCGCGGGAATTATTAAGTACCTGGCGTCAGCGTCGGTCTAAAAGATTGATTTATTAAGACATATAAAGACTTTACCAGCGGGGTCAAGGCTACAGATGGGCCTCATTTTTCACAAAAATGGGTGAAGTTAAATCAAGTCGTTACATAAATATCTCTTATGTATGTAAATTTTATAGTAAACTAACTAGCACTTACTCAAAAAGTCATTTTTTGTTTATGTTTTTTTTTTAATAGTTTAGCAGTAAATATAAAATTCATTTACTTTTATTCGTCGACTATTTAAAATTGGCAGTGGCTGCATTGTCATGTCAATGCCGGACGTCTAAGATTGTGATATACACAAATTCAGTGTCAGTCCCTAGTCTCATAATTTGATGAACCTACATAATTCACAGAAACCCAATATGTAGATGCCAGAAGTTAACTTCAAATGTTTTTAATCACCCTATATACAATACCAATCAATGACGTTTATGTCGCAGGTTGAAGAAAGCAGTAATTCCCGTCTGTTGTTTTGGACAATGGTGGCAATTGCCTTAGATCACTAAATTAAATAATTATGCAATCACCAAAGCAAAGTTTATAATATTTGATTAAACTAAAGGCGCATAATAAAATTTTCATAAAGTTAGGTAGAGCACCATAGCAATCTCATTTATTATCAATTTATAGTTCTCTTTGTAGTTTTCTTTTAAAGCGTTCACATTTAACAGGTCAAAGACTTTGTGTTCGACCCTTTTTTATTGGTAGTGTAAAGCTCGAATGAAGAGTACAGTAGTGCAATCATGGCAATTATTTTCCAAATTTTTTTTTGTTTATAAAAATACCGAATAACGTATCACTGTTAAGCACAAATGCTAAGTAACTTTTACAAATATAATCAAATAAACCTATTACTTACTTTATTTTTAAACCTTTTTGATCAATTAAATACTTATCCTAACTATCTATACTAATATTATAAAGAAGCAAGATTTGTATGTTTGTAACAAATAATCTGTCAAACTACTGAACCGGTTTCAAATATTAATTCAACATAAGGTAGCTACAGTATTTATTATAATTTTTTTCTTTATTTAAATACATTCTGCCCGAGTGACATAGGCTATATTTTATCCCGATAAATAAATTTCGCCCGTACAATGCCCGGGTGGATCACTAGTAAGTATAATATAATATTATAGATGCGAAAGTGAGTTTGTTTGTTGCGCTTCCGTGCCCTAATAGCTAAACCGAATACAATGAATTCCCATATAGAAGTAGATGGGAACTTGGTTCTTAGCTACAATATCGCAATACTTATAGGCGTAGGGTGATGAAAGGGGTGATTTACCTATAAAAATCTACATTATTTACTTTGAATTTTGCGGAATTATTACAAAACCAATATTATCGCGAGCTAATTAATAAATACAGGGATTCCAATAAGTATGTACTTACTAGCGAAAAATGGGTTATTTGTCATTATATTAAGTAAACCTTTTTTGTAACATTGAGTAATATCGTTTAAAAAAATGAAAAACAGTAAAATTCTGAGTTTTTCATTAAAATTCAATAATCATAAATACCTATTATTATAATATTTTTTTTCATCATTTAATAAGAAGGAACTGTATCACAGTTTTATTGTTAGTACTTCGTATAGGATCAGATACTGCGAATACCCCATTTTTTTTTCTTTTACATAGTACACCGCGCTATCACTTTGTCATCGTTGTAACTTTTTAAATATTTGTCGAAATGACATAGTGTAAAAAGCAAAGTTTATCGTCTTTAAATATCAAAAGCGATAAAAGTATTTGTTTTGATAAAAAATGATTTGTTAATACAAAATGTGCATTTTGGAAATAGATATCTAATAATATTTTAGTTTTGATTTACTATTTTAGCGGTAATGACTTACACATTAAAAATAGATATATAGTGTCATGGACTTTTTTTTAGAACTATTCAAGAGATACATTTTCACTCTATATTACATTCATGTAACTTTTATTGTTTTTGCAGTGCAGGCCAAAATGGCTCGCAGGTGGGAGATTTTTTTCCGTCTTATGTGACACTTATTGTTATATATTGCCCAATTCACTCAATAACTACATAAATTATTATATATATGTAATTATCATATATGAGCTATATTACTGTTAAGTTTCATCAAAATCCATTCAGTATTTTTAAGGTGAAAGAGTAACAAAGATCCATACAAACGTAAGATTGAAATTAAAAGCGTAAGTGGTTAATATACAACTTTAAAGCGTTGTAGATCCTAAACAATCATATAAAATGAAAAATGATGCTAACATCATCATCATCGAACCTAAATATGATTTTTGATTTTCTAGACAGTGATACCCCACTCGACATATTTAGTCAACTTATTTTTTTTACTTCGTCACAATATGGCGTCTAATTTTGCCCATATTGAATTTTGATTACTATCATATCTTTAGTAGCACTCCCATGATTGAGACGAATCGATTGATGTATAAATCATCAAAATCGGTCCAGGCGTTTGGTCTCTAGTGTGCCACAAAGGAACAAACATACATATATAGACTGTTAAACACATAACCCTGTCTGCGCGTCGCGCTTCGCGCTCTTGCATTGCGCAGCCGGGTAAAAAGTGTACACAAAAAGAACTCACAAACATAACTCATTCCATTCGTTCACGATAATCGTCTGTGATTCCGAACTTTATGTGCGTGTTCGAAGATGAAATAGAGTACAGTCACTGGCGAAATTTTGTTTAAAATTCGTTCGTTGCCAAAATTTCGTTTCGGAGAAAGAGAGTAGAGCTCCTGTACCTAGGGATGGGCGTTTTTAGAATAACGATGCGCAATAACGATGCCAGGTTCGGATGCGCGCATCCGATGCGACTGGATGCCGTTATTGGATGCCGATGCCATCTAGTTTTTGTCAACGTTACCACGGCATCGGCATCCAGTCGTATCGGATGCGCGCATCCAAACCTGGCATCCTGCCTGCGTTCAAAACCTACGCTCTGAGTGAAAATTTTTATGTAATAATTTTGCCAGCATTCAATCTTTTCAGATAACATACCGAAACGTAAATAAATGGTTTTCGGTTACATTTTCAAGTCCTGATTCAAGGAATCGAAGAGACAGAGCTACACAAAACACGCATCTGTAGAATTTCATATTGCATCGTATCCTGTGATACAAGATATCGACGTTCAGTTGACATCGATGCGATGCCGGCATCGATGCGGGCATCCGATGCCAATTATATGATACCGATGCGCATCGATTTAAAAAATATCTAAAAAACGCCCATCTCTACCTGTACCCCCGCACTTATAACAACACCGACCTTTGTGTAGCGCGATGTGTATATCGCAGGCTCGCTTGTGCTTGTAGTGCGCGCCGCACACCTCGCAGATGTACGGCGGCTTGGACCCGTCGTGCTTCAACTTGTGCTGCTCTAAGCGGGCTGACCAACAAACACGTAACACGAAACCTCGTTACATCTCTTTTAAGTAAACCTAGTTTTATGGAAAAACGACGCGAGGAAGACAAACGAGGAGTTGGGAGAAACAATTATTATGGGTTGCAAGAGAGGAGCTCGATCGTTGTCGTTAAGCAACTTTCGCAGTGGTCGGTCATTGGATGGGTGACCAAAAATTTCAATCTCGAGTTCCTCCGTGCTTCGGAAGGCACGTTAAGCCGTTGGTCCCGGTTGCATCTGCAATCGTTAGCACCCGCCAATCCGCACTGGGCCCGCGTGGTGGGTCATGGCCCAATCTCCCTATTCCATCCATAGGGAAGGCCTGTGCCCCAGCAGTAAAGAGACTGATGATGCAGGAGAGGCCTGGAGCAGGAAGGCCATGGATAGAGAGCATTGGGAAACAAAGGGAGACATTTGCCAAAGGGCAATCAGATTAATAATTTAAGTAAATGTAATATAAGTTACAAGTCTGCCTGAATAAACGCTCATTTTATTTTTATTTATTTTATCACGTCACTCCATCGCGCCTGAGGACGTCCTACACTATGTTTGCCTAGAAGCCGTCTCCACTCCAGAACTCGTCTACCCCAACGGTTATCGGTTCTTCAGATTACAGATTATTATTATCAGATTACACATAGCAAACACAAATAACCATGTGAAGTGCCAGCATAACAAATATATGAGCAGTGAAGATGACTCTTGAAAGTAAAGCATAATTGACTTTTATCAAAACACAATGGCTAAAGATAAATTTTTATTACTATGTTTCTAATGACACCAAAAAGAAACAGACTTTTTGATTTTATCCAATCTATATTATTTGATAAGGAAACAATATATTGCACCTCCGGTGCGACACTGTCACATATGGAAAAACAATTTTTTTTCAGGATGAGCGTTTAAAACTTTAACATTCCAAAACATACAATATTTAGACTCTTTCAATTTTTTTTATATAAAGTTCTAATTGATTCTATTCAACTATATATTGAATAACCATAATAAAATGAATTAATAAAATAAAAATTCATTTGTGTCGAGCAACAAAGCTCATATTAATCATTACTACAGAAAAAGGTACATGTCACAAAAATACAACTAATCATTTATTGAATTTAAATAATGAATAATGAAATATTTTAGGTATAATTAAACTATAATTGCATGCTTGGGTTTGAAATGTATGTATACACATATAGAATCCTCACAAACATGCAATTTATTAAGAGGTAGAAAAGAAAAGGCACATTGAACTAGTGAACCAAGACCCAAGCACAAACTTCAACAGATCCGTAAAATTATATTGCCATCATCATATATTGTATGGAAGAAGCCAGTTTCTTGTTACGTCCAGTTTCAACTTTTGAAACGATCATTTGAAAAGTTGAAACTGGAGATTAGATCATATAAGATCTTATATGATTACTGTCAAAGTTCGTGCTCAGGCCTCTATTCTTTTATCATTGATCAATTTAAAATGAACAAATAAGATTATACTTACTCAATGAGGAGTACTTGGCATCACATTGATCACACTTGTGTATGACTCTTTCTCTCTTTGTTTTCTTTTGTACTGTACTGTTTTTAGATTTTAATGGTCTACCTACTCTATTTTTCTTCGGTTTAGGTTGTTCGTCGTCAGGTATATAATTAGAACTGTCATCATCATCATCGGGGAAATCACCAAATTCCATTTTCGGTGATGTGTCAAAGCCATTGTTGAAAATTTGTGATCTGCAACAAATAGAAAGTTCATAGAATTGGAGTAAGATGTCAAAAATAAAGATTATCCATTGAATATATATACTTGATCATAAAAATATTTTAAAATCAATAATTTTGCCTTCCTAATATAACCAGGATTCAAACCCAGTACCTTCAAGAGCAGAACACAGGAGTGTAGTCATTGCAGCACACCCAGTCCTCTTATAATCCAATTGTCATGCCAGTATGGAAGCATCTTATATAGACATGATTTTATTTTTCCATATTATAGACTTTGGAAAGTATTATAAACTTAGTTCCTGGAGTTTCTATAAGTACCCTTGTCTTATAATTATTTCTTTATCCAATTAAATTAAACACAGATGTTTAAAAAAATCCAAAATAAAAACAAATTTACATCTCACCCATCACTTGTATCCTCTTTTTTAACATCAATAAGTGTGTTATTAGCTTCGTCTTGGCTTGTGTTATGAACTTCATTCTTGTGTGCGGTGGCTGCACGTTTGCCCCCTGACTGACCCACCAAACCACATTCATCGCAGTCCCAACTGAAAAACATCAAAAGACAAGTAGTATTTTAATGAAGTTTGGTAAAAAGTTTTACAATTTCTGTTACCATTAATAAATTTATTTACCTGTCTTCAACTTTTGCCTTAGGTTTACGTTTCCCCGTAGTTGAAGCTTTTTTCTTAGGCTTACGATGTCTCTTTTTTTTAGCAACAGATAGAGGTTCATCTTCAGAGTCCATTTCAAATTCAATATATTTATTAAGATCATTATTATTACCCACATGGATTTCATTCTTCACTGAATCAAGCCTAATTGGTTGGACGTTGAGAGATTCAAAAAGAGGATTCTTACTTAATATAGATTCAAAGGTTTCCTTCAGTTTCATGTATTCTATCTCGGCCTGTTCCAAAAGATTAACGAGATCATGACAATTTTTACATATATACTTAGAATGGTGTGCTTCTGCTAGATTAGAACTAGTGAATTTCGACAGGAAGCTATGCAACGAAATGCCCGTGGAGTTGGTGTTTGTCGCATAAATATCGAACGTATCAGGGCTGCGGACCACACACACTACGCATTCGTGTGGTTCAGGTTTAACTAGCACATCCAATTCTTTTTTGATGCCTGGCACCAAATCTTCCCGAACTATTAGATCGCCCTGGGCGACCTTTACGTCGAACTGCCCTGCAGTTTCAGCCATTCTATTTGATTAATTTATCTATAACAACTAATCAATAACTGAACACAGACTATTACTGATTAAAAGCATAGCAAATTAACACAATAGTTATAAAAAAAACATAATTTTTGTTCATTTATGAATTACGAGTCCTATGACAAGAAATTGACGCGACACAAACAAGAATGTAGAAGTGACAGTTTTCTTTTTTATTTGTTTTTCTGGATTGTGAAGGTAAAAGATACTTAATTCATACTGCCACATACTTTTCTTTATTTCTTTAATAACATAAGCATGCGATAATATTTTTATTAGTATTTAGCATAAAAATCGCTGTGGCTTTATTGAACAAATACCAGGCACCAAGCACTAGATTCATGTTTGTCATTGTTTACCGATGTAGTCACCGATGATACTAATCGTAACGCGAAATCGTAACAAATTCGCCGGTTTACCCCCCAAGTCAAGCGTGCCTAAAGAATTTTCACTTCAAAAAGTATTTTAATTCAATTCAATTAAATTCAAATGATTTAATAAAAATTACTGAAATTGATTCATTTGCATGCCAGTAGTGGCCCGCCCTCTCTTCGCTTCGGTGTACAGCTGTAGTTTAGATTATAATTTTTGTTCTCAGGCTTGTATTATACACAATGACTTTCTTTAAATACCTAATATGCTAGTTGACTCATGTCAAATTGCACTATACAAATGTTTATTTCTTATAATGTTTGGTATGAGGAACCTAAATACATCGATTTCACTTCATTAAATTAGAAGATGGTTGTAGTAATTTAATTTGAAAAATGGTTTTTTTAGTCTATGCTTTTTAAACACTCAAAACGCTGTCCACCATGATTGTGACGTCACCAACTTAGTAAATGTGTTAGTTAAAGAGAAAAAGTATATATAGAGTAGTAAACAACTAAACGTCATTGTCGTGTTACTGTGGTGTCTTTCGTCGGACTAAAATACTTATATCTTAAAAAACTTACATCTTGTAGAAAAATATCCGTTTATTGGTTTTGTTAACTAAATTTATGCTGGTGGCCGAATTTCTGAAAACAGAAATAACAAAACTCTTTGACTTAGTAGTTCAATTCGTAACATTAAAAATTGTATTTTTAAACTTTAAATAATTTTCAATGAGTACTCACATTAAAGTGATCTTTGCTAAAAGAAATTACTTTCAGACTGTAAAATTACAGGATTTAGCAAGTTTTAAACATGACTGTGTTCATGTGTAAGGGTGCGGCCAGAGTGCACTCAGATTCAGAATCAGATTCAGATTTCGAAAACAAGCGCGAGAAATAAACAGTGTAGTCTAAGCAGGTTGCCTGCTTTTTCTCGCGCTTTGTTTTCTGAGTCTGAATCTGAATCTGAATCAGGAGTGCACTCTGGCCGCACCCTAAGTAGGTATGTGTATTTCTAGACAATTTAAATCACAACTTTTCTAGAGTCTATAACGATGTGTTTCTACATTTTCGTATAATAAAATCATGATAATTATTATATGTATCATGAAATCTATAAGAAATCATGGTTTTATAATATAAATTTAGATTCAGGTTATTTCCTACGAGTTCCGTATGTTTGTTCTCGATTTTGTTGACTTCATAGCATAGATAATCTATAGACTAAAATGGCCGACAGCGTTTTTGTATCTCCATGAAAAATCTATTTTAAAATTAAAGTTTTGTAGCTTTCTAGGTCAAAAATTATAGAATATTTTTATTCGGTCTAATAGAACAATTATTAACCATTTAAATCATTTTTCCAAAAAGTGTCAAGTAGCCTTTTACTATAGGCACGCGCCGCCGCCGGCCCACGGGCCCGAACCAGTATGTTCCTGCATTTTAAATCTGTAATATCTTCGAAAATATTCATTTAAATTACATGTTGTAAAGGGCCATATTGATCGGGGGGCCCGGCAGTGCCCCCGCCAAGTCGAGCTCGAAGCAAACACTGCCGTACCATCCTTTACTGGAACCATTTCGCCGCATTTTCAGGCCCCTCTTTGAGAACTTCTGGATAAGACCAGAACGCAGAATTTCGGCATCCAATGAGCTAAACTCACGTACTTAAAATCCAAAATTTCAAGTCTGTATGAATAAGTACCTTGCGTGTTGAATTATTAAATACCTTGCGTCGGTCTAAAAGATTGATTTATTAAGACATATAAAGACTTTACCAGCGGGGTCAAGGCTACAGATGGGCCTCAATTTTCGCAAAAATGTGTGAAGTTAAATCAAGTCGTTACATAAATATCTCTAATGTATGTAAATTTTATAGTAAACTAGCACTTACTCAAAAGTCATCTTTTGTTTATGTTTTTTTAATAGTTTAGCAGTAAATATAAAATTCATTTACTTTTATTCGTCGACTATTTAAAATTGGCAGTGGCTGCATTGTTATGTCAATGCCGGACGTCTAAGATTGTGATATACACAAATTCAGTGTCAGTCCCTAGTCTCATAATTTGATATACCTACATAATTCACAGAAAGCCAATATGTAGATGCCAGAAGTTAACTTCAAATGTTTTTAATCACCCTATATACAATACCAATCAATGACGTTTATGTCACAGGTTGAAGAAAGCAGTAACTCACGTCTGTTGTTTTGGACAATGGTGGCAACTGCCTTAGATCACTAAATTAAATAATTATGCAATCACCAAAACAAAGTTCATAATATTTGATTAAACTAAAGGCGCATAATAAAATTTTCATAACGTTAGGTAGAGCACCATAGCAATCTCATTTATTATCAATTTATAGTTCTCTTTGTAGTTTTCTTTTAAAGCGTTCACATTTAACAGGTCAAAGACTTTGTGTTCGACCCTTTTTTATTGGTAGTGTAAAGCTCGAATGAAGAGTACTCCCAGTAGTGCAATCATGGCAATTTTTTTTTGTTATCATGGCAATTTATAACAAAAAAAAATCTCCAAATTTTTTTGAAGTTATACTTCTTTAGCCGCGTTATGAAAAAATTATGAGAGTGAAATTTTAAGATGCGCGCGCATCACTGTGACACAAAAGTAACATAATGAAGTTAACCGCGGGCGCGCTATGAAAAAATGATGAGAGTGAAATTTTAAGATGCGCGCGCAACACTGTAACAGAAAAGTAACATGAAGTCGGCCGCTAAACCGCACATTACTCGTAAGTCTCGAAAAAAAGCTTCCAACAAAATAGTAATAGGATCTCTTAGTCGCACATGTTGGGACGCTCGTCGCCTCTGATCACTGTTTTCATATTTATAATATTTATCCACATGTTTCTAGTTTCTATATTCTTAACACGTGTTATAATGTTATACAAATGCGAAATTTATATGTGCTAATAAATTTTATTCAGTAGTGATTTAAATTGAATATTTTGATTATTTATTAAATTTTTCATATTAAAACTGAACTTTATTGACTGCGTTGACTATCCTTTTCCAATCGTTTTATTATAAGATAATTCTTATTGTAATTAATTATCTGCATGCAATTAAAAACTATTTTTTAATAATTCCAAAAAGAAGTATAACTTCTCACGCGCGTACTTAAGTACACGCACTCATATTTTTATTGAAGTTATACTTCTTTAGCCGCGTTATGAAAAAATTATGAGAGTGAAATTTTAAGATGCGCGCGCATCACTGTAACACAAAAGTAACACCATGAAGTTGACCGCGGGCGCGTTATGAATGTTAGTGTCTATTAGACATCTGTTCGAAAGGTACTTTGAACGATCCACGGAGCTCCATAAGATGATCGCGTTGTCAAAAACAATGTCGGCACGCTCGTCGCCTCTGATCACAGTTTTTATATTTATAATATTTATCCACATGTTTCTAGTTTCTATATAGACACAACGTGTTTTAGTTACTTACAAGTGCTAATTACATATGGACTAATAACTTAAATTCAGTAGTGATTTTAATTGAATATTTTGAATATTTATTGGAGGTCGTCAAATAAGGCACTCATGTTGAAATCAAAAACCATAATAATATAGGGAAGGAGGCGAAATGCTTTCAGACTAGCATGCTCATCTTTATCATCAGAAAAGCATTGTTTACTTATCCACCCAAATATTTGAGTAGCTATTTTTGTATCTTTCTTTTTTTTCAAATAACAAAAATATACTTACGTATTACAGATTCAATCCCAAACTTTCAGGAGAAACTCGGAAACAACTTTTGTTATTTTATGAGTCAGAAGAAGCACTGATTCACACTAAATTAAAACTTGTCACTGTAACAACGGTATTAACCACTAAGTGGTTAATAATCCACCATTATTAGACATCTGTTCGAAAGGTACTTTGAACGATCCACAGGGCTCCATAAGATGATCGCGTTGTCAAAAACAATGTTGGCACGCTCGTCGCCTCTGATCACAGTTTTCATATTTAAAATATTTATCCACATGTTTCTAGTTTCTATATAGATACAACGTGTTTAGTTACTTACAAGTGCATAGTGCAACATATGGACTAATAACTTAAATTCAGTAGTGATTTTAATTGAATATTTTGAATATTTATTTAATTTTTCAAATTAAAACTGAACTTAATTGACTGTGATAACTATCCTTTTCCAGTCCTTTTATTATTTTATTGTAATTATTAATTATTTGCATGCAATTAAAAAATATTTTTAATGATGCTAAAGAAGTATAACTTCTCACGCGCGTACTTAAGTTACACGCATCCCTTTTTTTGTTATAAAAATACCGAATAACGTATCACTGTTAAGCACAAATACTAAGTAACTTTTACAAATATAATCAAATAAACCTATTACTTACTTTATTTTTAAATCTTTTTCATCAATTAAATACTTATCAAAAATTCAAAATTCAATATCGTTTATTCAGTCTAGGCTGTTACAAGCACTTGTGAATGTCGAAAAGCTACGCCATCGGTTCGCAAAACTACGGCGGGAGACCTTGTACTGAGAAGAACCGGCAAGAAACTCAGCAAGGGCTGCTTTTTTCTCCCTGTTTTATTTCATACAGTGTCGTCCAATTG